GCTGGGAAACCCAATTGTCCCGAGGGAGAGCAAAGGGACTTAAAGGAGGCACACGTGAAGTAACCTTTTGGATTAGGGGACCAAAGTCTCACATCAGATCTGAGAGGGTCCAGAAAAACACTTCCAAGTACTGACAAAAGGTCTAAAACACAAGAGAGTTCATGATCCCTCAAGCCCCTACGAAACCCAAAGTCCCAATTCATAGGATGGAGAAATAAATGTTGGAAGAAAGTGAGAGATTGCTTTATCCTTGTAGCGAGAAAGGGAATAGAGAGAAGGGAAACTGTCCTTAAGGGCAGAATTGCCCACCCAGATGTCTTACCAAAACAAAACAAAAGTACCAGAATTGACATCATACCTGATACAGTTGAGGAAAATAGGGAGAATACTCTGAATTGCTTTCCAAGGAGTTGCCGACGTGGCTCAACGTGATACACCAGCATCCCATCCATTTCCTAAGCTTCCATGTATACTACCTATCACCTCATGCCATAGTCTCTCCTGTTCTAAGTTCCCCAGACCCAACCCACTCCTCTTTCCTCCTACACACTATTCCCCAATTTATTAAGTGATCCTTTTTTTTCCTCCCCTGGCTCCTAAAGAAAATTTCTCATTAATTTCTTCAACTTCTTGGCCTCCCTAATAGGAATCCTGAACACAAAGAAGTAATAAATCAGAAAATTTGCTAAGGGAGCTTTCAATAATGTTACTCTACCCCCTAAGGAAATATAGTTCCTTTTCCACGAGGCTAACCTTTTCTCAAACTTTTCCAAAACTGGGGCCCAAAAGGTTCTTTCCTTAGGGTTGGCTCCTAGAGGTAGACCTAGATACTATAAGGGCCAAGAGGATATGGGACAACCTAGACACTCAGCCACAGACTCAATAGTCCTCTCATCCAAACTCACACCCACCACACAGTTCTTTTCCATGTTTATTTTAAGATTTGATACTCTCTTAAAGTGCTTTATCAAAGATTTGAGATTACTTATTGTTCCCCTATCACCCCTTCACAAAAGATTATTAGGTCATCAGCAAACTGTAAGTGGATCACCCTAATCACGTTCCTTCCTATCCTCCAACCTCTCACTTCTCCTTCCATGTCTGCCTTAGAGATCAAACTACCGAAAACATCTGCAACTAGGGTAAAGAGGAAGGGGGAAAGGGGGTCACCTTGCCTTAACCCTCTAAAAGCTGGGAAGGAATCCTTGACTACCCCATTAACCAAGACTGAAAAATGGCAAGAACTTATGCAGCCCTTTATCCAATTACACCATCTAAATCCAAACCCACAACACCCTAGGACCTCTATAGAAACTCCAATCCACATAATCATAGGCCTTTTCTAAATCCAGTTTACAAAAACCTTGCTTTCCGAACTTTCTCATATCCTCCACACACTCATTAGCTATTAGGATCTGATCCGTTATTTGTCTCCCTTACACGAATGCTCCCTGGGCTTGACTAATGATGGAGGGAAACACTACTTTAATCCTCAAAGATAACACTTTAGCCAGGATTTTGTAAATACTAGTCACCAAACTGATCGACCTAAAATCTTTAGGATTTTTTGCTTCTTTCTTCTTAGGGATTAGGGCTATGAAAGTAGCGTTAACTCTAGGGCTTACTTTGTTAGTATCCTCAAATTCCTTGAACACAGCACAAAGGTCTTCTCTTACCATATTCCAGTAGTCTTGATAAAAAGCCATGGTGAAGCCATCTGGCCCAGGGGCTTTGGATCTATCCATAGAAAACATTACATGCCTGATTTCCTCTTCTTCAAAGCTTCTCTCTAGCCAGATTGCTTGCTCTTCAGACAACTAGGGCCAATCTAGACCCTCCAGCCTTAGTCTATTATTCAATGGCTTCCCTGCAATTGATTTAAAGTGATCCACCAACACTTTGGCTATCTCATCTTGATTTGTGATTTCCTCCCCATCCACTTCTAATTTGGCCACAATTTTTTCTTTTCCTCCCATTAGCCAACGCATGGAAAAATTTTGTATTGTCGTCCCCTTCTTTGATCCATTTGTGTCTTGACTTTTGCCTCTAGGAATCTCCTCTCTAAGAAGAACTTCTTCCAATTCCTTTTTTAAGCTTCTTCTCAAATTCCTTTCTTGCTCATTCATAGTTCTTTGGGATTCTTTGGAGTCTAGATCATCAATCCTAGACATCAAAATATTCTTTTGATCCTCTATCCTTCAAAAATGCTCCTGATTCCACTCTTTAATCCTGGCTCTCAATCTCTTCAACTTTTTGTGGAACCTTACCCCTTTCCACTTTACCCCTCTTAAGTCTTCATTCCACCACTCACCAACCTTTCGTTCAAAGTCCGGATGAGTCAGTCACATGGTAGTGTGTTCGACTCATTAGACACACCCCAAATCTGCTGTCTTTTCTCTAGTACGAACTGCACTGACATGGTATCAAAGCAGGTTCAATTCTCTTAGTTTTGATTTCACACTTTCTCCTATATTCAGCTTCAGTTTGGATCTATCTCTCTACCTTTTCAGACTGGCATATGCTTCTTTCTGGACTGTTCTGTTCAAGACATGAAATCTGGATCTCCTGGACCAGGGTGCCACCCAGGTTAGTATTTTGGGGTTTTCTTTCAAGTATCTGATCCATTTACTCTAAAACTCTAGATCTGGTGTTGCCCTAGATTGTTCCTTCAGCCCTAAAATTTTGGTGAAGATTGGAGTTGATCTGCTAGGGTTTTGATCTCTCCCTTTCTTCGGTTCATCGGTGAACCTTACTTTTTTTGGACATTGAACAGATTTTTTCTGGTTTTCAGCCTATTAGAGATTGTTTTCTTCCTCTTATTTCTTATTATGGCATCTGAAAGAGGTGATGTACTTCCTATCAAGTTCGACAGAACCAACTATGCCTTATGGCAGTTCCATCTTCAGTTTTATGTTGAGGGAAAGGGGTTGTGGAGCTATATTGATGGCAGTGTTTTAAAAGGCATGGGAGGCATATGCCTAGAGGCGCACTGACACCTCTGAGGCATACAAACAGCCAAGGAGATGTACGGATACCTAGAAAAGGCTTATTAACAGTCTAACATCTCACAGCAATATTAGATTGAAACTGAGATATTTTCCTACAATCGGGGTGAAAGGAAACTTCAAGAATACTATGCGGGATTTGTCAATCTTGGACAGAGTATGAGCTTATTCACATTAGTGAAATGTCCTCTACTTGTTGCATCAAGACATTGAGGAAACACTTTGATAGAAGTAATGCATTTTTTATACATCTCCGACCTGAGTATGAGGTAATAAGATCAAACGTTCTATATAGAGGCATTGTACCATCTCTTAATACTATTTTGGGTGAATTACATAGAGGGGAAACCAGGATAATCACTCAATCAACTTTGAATGCAAAGAATGATGGAGTAAAGGTTGTACTTTTAGCAACAAATAAGTCCATACCAAAGGACTTATCTGATGTGCAGTGTTACAAATGCAAAGAGTTTAGTCATGTGGTATCCCATTGTAGGAAGAAGAATACCTGTACTTGCTGCAAGAAATTTGGATGCATTATCACTGAATGCCCCACAAGACCACCTAAAGGAAATCAATCTGGTGGCAGAAAGAATCATCACAAGGCTTATCCAACTTCAGTTGAGGGATCAAATGATGCTTCATCTTCCACATCTCAGATCAAGAATGGGACTACAAATTTTATGATTGAAGAGAAAATTCAGCAACTAATGTCCTCGGCAATTTCTTCTGCATTCTCTGCTTTCAGCTTGTCTCGTAAGTGTACCTACTATTGTGCCTCTCCTAGTCATCTCTAGATCATAGATTCGGGTACTCCCAATCATATGATGGGGGCTACATTGTTATAGCTAATGGTGAAAAACTTGATATTGTAGGTTTTAATGATCTTACCTTATCTACGTCTTATTCTTCCCCCTTCAAGTTACTATAAACCTTATTTGTTCCTAGACTTACCACCAATTTAATATCTGTTGGTCAACTTGTTGAACATGATCATATAGTCACCTTCTCACATGATGGTTGTTTAATACAAGACCAATGCACTAGGGAGGTGAAGGGAAAGGGGCGTAGATTGGGGTGGCTATTCACCGCAAGACCATGAATACTATCATCCTTCCCCTACCATTTCCCAAAAAATGAAAAGAATCTGGTGTTACCATCCCCTTCCTTTAGCCACCTACACCTTGATTTCTATCTCCAACTTATTTCTTCTATCCCCAAAATTTCTGCCAATTCCTATTTGAGCTTCCATCTTTCTTCCCTCTCTTCCACTTTAATTCTTCTTTCTGCTTCTAAACCATCAAGTTCCTCAACCCTTCAAACAATCTCATTCTTTCTTTCCTCAACTTTTCCAAGCACTTCTTTATTCCATTCCCTGATTCTAGATTACTTGATGAAGATTACTAGTAATTATTAGTAAAGATGATTTCTAGTTACTATGAAAATTACAAAACTAACCTATGATTCAGGTCTTACTAAAAAATCTATCATCTATGCGTCTAGGCATTCCCTTGTCAACTAGCGTCATCTTAGAGAACTTGACAACTATGGTTAATAATGTACCCATGCTGTACCAAGGTAATATAGCAACATATGCTGACAAAAGCAATTGCACACGATCAAGAATAAAAGCTTAAATTTAAAAACATATGCTGACAAAAGCAATTACACACAATCAAGACAAGTGCTATTTTTATTTTTTGATAAGTGACAAGTAGAATTCATTCATCAAGTAACTGGATAAAAAAAAAAAAAAAAAAAAACAGAATATGTCAAACAGGCCCCAAAGGAATAAGAGGCCAAGTACAAAGCTAAAGCTAAACAAAAAGAAAGACTAACAAGTTACAAATTACAGACTGGCCCTGGACAACACCACTCTAGATGATCCTTTAACATTCCTGCTCTTGCCAATGTGTCAGCCATCGAATTGGCATTTCTAGATATCCAGTTGAATGAGGTGTTCAAGGGATCCCTTAGGGAGAGTGCGTGTCTTACCAAAGGCCATGTAGGTGCTTAAATTTCCATGCAGAAAGCATGGTGATGTAATATTGCAGGAACTTCACCACCTGCATTGAGTACAGAACCACACAGGCATCTAATCAAGTAATTATAGATTCATGGATAAATGCACAGTCATGCAGTCTTGCCAAAATCTCACCTATTTAACATTCTAAAGATGATAATAGAACTTTTTTTATCTTGTTATTCATTTAGGTCTGTGGTGGAAACATACCTTCAGTATAACCAACTTAACATTAGAATCCTCTTCATAAGTAATAAAGAGTTCCAGCAATTGAGAAACCTAAAAAATCAAAACAAAGTTTCACATATCTCAACCTAAAAGTTGCATGTTAGATCAAGTTGGGTAATAAACTCAAGCAATGGATTTTAAGTGATGGGTAAGGGTAGGGATTGGGAAAAAACATTATATGAGAAGTGCTGTGATATATTGAGCAAGAGAAATCTTTGGAACTGATAAACATGCTTAGAAGCACAAACGCATGAAGAATTAGCCAGTTAACCAAGTAAGAAACAATCATGAAATGTTGTAGCATACAAATGCTTAGAAAGTGAACCACTGTCATGCATAGTTGTCAAGGTCTATAAGAAATTCTGGGCAATAGTGGAGCTCCTTGTTGCCTAGAAGGTGCCTAGACAATAGGGTTTTACAAAGAAAAAACTAAATTCTAGGGTAGTCCCCTAGTTTTATAAACCAGTAAGCATACATATAAATTGGAGAGATAGAAATGCTCTTTACTGATAACATTAATTTTCCTCTCAAAACATAGCAAACCATTAGCATTTTAAATCTAGTGATTTCAAAGTTTCAAAGAAACATTATGACATAATAAGAAGTTAATAAATCATAATAACTCTGCCACTGATAGTGTAAGCTTGTTTTACATTGCCGGTCCCAAGTGCAAATAAAGGAGGGTTGTGTCAGGTGGGCAGACAACATTAAAACTTTTGCCAAACTCTTATAAACATTGATCCTACTTAATGAAGCAATTTCATGTCAAAAAATTATTAGGTATTAGCAACTAAAAATGGCTATAATTTTATACTAGCAAAAATTTAAGTGTGTGTGTTACATCTTACATGCTAGACGAATACACCAAAAGCCTTAAGACTGTTGGAACGTGTTAAACCAATTAGCCAAACACTATAACATTTAGGACCATAGCATACCACCATGATTCCATAGTCGATGTCTTGGCGACTTCACTATGAGTAGCTGTCACTCTAGTAGAAGGTAGCTGTCACTATGAGTAGCTGTCACTCTGCTCCAGATAGCCCTTTCCATGACAGCTTTCACTCTGCTCTAGATAGCCCTTCTCCCACGTAGCCCTCTTCGTGATTCGAACTTGGGACATGGTGGTAGGCTCTGATACCATTTGTTACGTGCTTGACCAATACACCAAAGCCTTAAGACTGTTGGAACGTGTTAAGCCAAGAACTTTAACATTTAGGACCATAACAAAGAGAGAGTAATGAAAAGGGGAAGGAACAAAAGGCAAAGCCTTTCTTCTATTTAATGTAAGGAGGATATATATATATATATTGATAGAGAGAGAGAATAACTATAGAAAAATGAAAAGAAAGAAAGAAAGAAAAACCTCCTTTATCCTTCTTTTTTTTCTATTCATAAAACCCTTGAATATTTTGCCAATAGTAAAACTCTTAAACAATGCATAAGTAATATAAATCTATATGATGGGATGTATTAAAATACATGGTAATAAGATGTAGCATGGTAATATAATAGGGCACCCGCTTTGTGATTTTTGCCACCTAGGAGGGGTGACTAGATGGGTTTCTTTTTTATATAAATCATGGTGTTCAGATCAGGCATCCTTGGGGCCTATACAATGCCTTGACAACTATGATATCATGTATAATGGCTGAAGACATGAATAAGAAACAACATGCATGTAAAGAAAATTTTCCAGAATCAAGCTTTCCAAATGAACAACAAGCATGCATATTGGGATAGAATATGAATCAAATTGAGATATCAAAGTTTGCACCCCTACTTCTGAGATATTATTTCAGAGGAATCTGAGATCACTAAATTGTTATACGGAACCAAAGCAGGTTCCACATTACTATCTAGACATATAAAACCATAATGAATCTGTCCTACTCCTAAGTCCTACCAAAGCAGGTTCCTCAGAGGAATCTGTTTCATAAAGCAAAGCCCATCTTATAAACCCTATACAAAATTCTCTCTATTTTTAATTATGTGCCTGGTGCACCAATTGTAGCATATTCCTCATGCACAATACACTTGCCCACCCAATAAGGTTAACAACCTGCTCATGGATAACTGAGCCATGCTAACAACAAAAAAAATAGCTTCTTTTGAAATCTTTAGTCTTTAAATAGAGTTGGTCTCAATAGACCAGCTCTAGGCCAGGGTCCATATATGGTCTTATCAGGTTGAGGCCAACTATGACATGGGTGCTACCAGGTTTGTCACATCAAATAATCACTAAAATCCAAACTTCATCACATGCATACAGCTAAGAATAGAAGGAAAAAACGGATTTATTTTCTTCCCTCCTATAAATTAATTATTGAGTACTCACCAACTGGTCCTATTCCTAATAGGTTCCTAATTAGATCCTAATCCTAATAGTTGCAAATCTATGGATCTGTGCAGCAAAAAAAAAATAACAAAAAATCTACAGATCTGAAATGCACCAGATTATGATTAGGTCCAAGTTGTGAGGACCCAAAAATTTCAGGAACCCATTGCTATCCCTAATTTTAGAGGATCCCTAGGTTTTCTAGCTTCGAATTTGCAGACCTTCTTCTAGTCACCTCAGTCAAAATCATATCATCAGCAACAGCAACAACATACACTATTTGGCATCAGTATCACTATACATGTGCCTGGTCAACTCATCCATAACTAACATAAGAAGATATAATGAATTCATTGCCAATATCTAAATGAAGGTCTACTGTAATTGGTGATTTACATACATATCCAGCAATTGTCTCATGGGCAGTTACTATTTGTATACATAACCTAATTGTTTCAAAATATCCAGCTGCAGTTCCTCTCTTTCTAAAAACCACTAAATTATCTTTTTATGGAACTTTATTGTACATGTCAAGAAAGACAGTATAAGCCTTCTCTCTTCTGCCCACACCTCCCATCAACCAAGACCTGATTCTGACATCATTATTTTATAGTCTTATCTTACTATGTCTACCAAGGAAAAATGTAATTATTTTCCATACTAGGATTCAGCACATTGAATGCAAATTTGGTAGATCATAACAGTAATACAACCAACTCTTTAGGCCACTGGTGACAAGACATCACCAACCCATAAACTCCAGACATCATCTACTCCACTTCCAAATCAACCACCCACACCCCCCAAAAGACTCAAAGAAGAACTATGAAAAAAATCCACCACCAAACAAATCCCAATAAAATACAACCTCCAAATCCCCAGCCAAAGAATGCAAAATCAACCATTTATAACTAAAACTTCCAAAACTGTTAGACATTGATGCAGTAGATATAAATCAACCTCCAAATCCCAATATAAACCACCATCCATCTACCATACCATTTCTGCAAACTGGTCAAAAAAATCCCACAGAAATCACTATCCATCCTACTTGTTAGACTTTGGTGCAGTAGATATAATATTTTTTTTATGAACCGGTAGATATAATATTTTTATTCTCTCCTTTTCTTCTAGTACTATAAACACTTTTCCTGCATGTTCTTCACCTTCTAAGACGAAGAGTTTTAGTTTATTTCCCACCTCGACCTCTTTACCAACCACAATATTGATGTCCACTTTCTTGGCTACATTATGCACTTGATCAACTATTGCTTAATCACTTCCAAATTCCTCCCCCACATTCTTCCTGACTATAAAATCCGCAGTTGATGTCTTGTTGTGCTTCTAAAAAGCTATTATGTGATGGAAGACTCAAGCAAGCTTTGAGAGATTCAAAGCAATAAACTTTCATTCAAGAAAATATGCAATTAAAACAAAAAAGAAAAAAAATTTCAATGGAGTAAACTTAAGAAAGAGAATAAGTAGTGCATACAAAGGATGATAAATCTCTATGAGAAAGTTAGCAGGTCCTACAAATTCAAGAGCATGTTTTATTTGCATTAAAGTGGCAACTAATAAGAAGTTGGTAGTATTCTATATCAAGGTCAATTAGAAACAAAAGAAAATCTAGTATACCATTTGAAATGAGAGAGCATTCAATTGTCGGGGCCTATTCAGGATTATTGTCCTAACACAGGAGTGCTCTTCAACCAAAACCTGTGAATCCAATAGAGAATGTTATGTGAATACCATGCAAATTTCATAAAGTAAACATCATAACAAATGGTAGAGAAGCAGACCAACTTCCAAGAAATATTCACAATATGCATGTAGTATGTAGCATAATCCAATAAGACTATTACCTAACACCATTAGAATTCAACTTCTCTTATAGAAGCCTACTTAAAATTATTATAATGGACATATAGCATTTGGAGGTGCTCACGGTTCGGTTAACCAAACCATGGACCTTTTTTATAAACCGAAACCCCAGTCTTTCAGTTTTTGGAAAACCAAAAACCAAAACCAAACCAAACCGAAACCAATCGGTTAACCAGTTGACAGGTTCAGTTCTTCAGCTTTTGCGGTTTTTTTGAATTTATAATATATATATATATATTATCAATAAGTATATAATTGTTTAATATAAATACTAGAAACATATGCAATAAATTATATTATAAATATATATAATGCATATATTTATATAGAATATAGAATATATAAATATATATACCAGTTGGTTTGTCTAATCGCCGGTTTTTCATATTGGTTAACCAATATTATTTTATATTATATATAAATAAGGTTACAAGTTAGGTAAATTTAAATTCATACCTTACTGACCCGTGGGATTGGGAGCATGTATTTAAAGGGTGCCAAGTGTTGAAAAGATACAACTGAACATATTGATCAAAAAAAAGATACAAGTGAACACATTTGGAACATACTTAAAATTTCTGTTTTCTTTTGATAAGTAATTAGAGTACTTGGTAAGATACAGTTAATCAAACAGAGAGGGGTCAAGCAGCATATACAAGAGCTTTACGAGGTTAAAGAGATTCGAACCATGTCTAGAATATATTTATAGAAACCTTTACACATCTTTTTTTTTCTCTTTTTTTTTTGGTTCTGTGGGGCTACACAACCGGCGGGTAGCCCATCACCCAGCATAAACCTTCACACATCGAAAAAAGAACCAAAAACGCTTTATCATAAAATCAGTTGAAGATAATAAAATAAGCTATGTTTCCATTTCCAGAAAATGGCACCACATCAGCACCATGTAGAAAAAAAAGGTGCTCCAGGAAACAGCATTCTGTTTGGAACTGTTTTTCCATAGAAAATGGTGCTCCAAGCCAAGCCTTGGACATCGGGAAGGCATGGCTTGGAGCAGCTCGTTGCTGCCAACGGAGCAGTGACGTGGCAGTGGATAATGGGTAGAATTGAAGAAAACGTTTCCTGGAGCATCCGTACCAAACAGAAAAAGTTGTTGATACAGGAAACGTCCTGGCAGCAACGATTCCAAACAAAATGGTGCTCGCAGCAACGATTCCAAACAAAACGGTGCTCTAAGCCACACATCGGCAGCATCGTTTTCTGAGAAAACGGTGCTGCAACTGGAGCATCGATGCCAAACATATACTAAACTAGCAATAACAACAAGCAGAAACCTTAACCTTTGGTCTTTGATTAGAGCGTCCACCGGTCCTCGGTTTATCTCATTTCTTTTCCTGGCTCGCCTATGACTTTCTAATTTTCAAACATTAGGAATACCCACCAAAATGATTAAACACCAAAGCAAAATTTAATTACGCAATAAGGTATTGAGAGAGACAGAGGGAAAAGAGGGAAAAAACAGTCAAACAGTATTGAGAGAGACAGAAAGAGAGGGAGAGTTTTCCGGGTTTCAATCTAATTGCAGAAGTTCCTACAATCAGATCGTTTATGAGACTGAGAATGAGCATTAGAATATCTAACAAACAATAAAATTTCAACTCCATTTAAGTAATGCAAAAAACAAATTAGGAGAACGTAATGATCGATGAAGAACCATTGGAAGAGAAATACCTGATCAGTATTGCCACTAACTGACTGAACAGCCATGCTTGCTCGATGAATCTCTGTGAGAAATTAAGAGGACCTAACTCCTTTAAGTATAGTGCAAGCAAGAGTTCTTTCGAGCTTCGACCCGATATAGGAGACAAGACGACGTTTATATATCTTGTGGCGTCAAAAATACTTGCGGCAGTTTAGAAGAGTCCGGTTTCCATTTCGAGCTTCGAATGCACGATGCACAAACCACCGAGACCGGATCTGCTACCAAGCATTGTGAACATCTTCCGTACATGTGTGAGGAGCAGATCCCGTCTTGGATGCTGAATTCGGGTTTAGTCTTCACACCATCCTAACAGACTTTTCTTGCCGTAGATTGGGAGCATCTAAGTACTTGATATGTTTTTTTTGGTAAAGTAAAGGTGAGCTACACAAGCCTAACAGACTTTTCTTGCCGTAGATTGGGAGCATCTAAGTACTTGATATGTTTTTTTGGTAAAGTAAAGGTGAGCTACACAAGCCTTGGGTAGCTATTCCCCAAAAACCCAAAAATCACACCAACAAATGAACTCTAGAGGCCTAGGAAGCATCGGGAGGGAATTGCTAATAGGAGAATCAGAGTCAAGAGCATGTTTCACCAACTAATCACTTGCCTGGTTAGCTTCACAAAAGGCATGAGAGAAAAACACACCACAATTCAGTAACTCCACCACTCTAAAGCACACATCAATGATAGTCTGAAGTCTCCAAGGCGGGTCAAGCGCCTTATTGAGGCATGAAATGACGATGAGCGAGTCACCTCAATGTAAATGGACTGATCTCTGAAGTTAAAAGTCATATTGAGGGTTTCCCAAGCAGCCCACGCCTCAGCAAGATTTATTGATGCCTCCCTGATAGGACAAGCTTTCACATCCAAGACCTCCCCGAGGGAGTTCTTGGCAATTACACTCAACAGCACAACACCCCTCACTATTACGAGAAGCATCAAAATTGATTTTGATAACCCCCGGTTTTGGGTTCCTCCAATAAACTGAGTTCCAAACTTTTTTATCGATCTTGTCCCTTGCTGCGTTGTTACAAATCTCTAGATGGTTGAAGAATGATTGAACTTTATCAATGATCCCAACCAGATTGATGTTTTTGTTATTAAAAATTTTCTCATTTCTATTATTCCACAAAAACCAAAGAATAATGCTTGCTTTTTCTCTGCTTAAATGAGTTACATGGTTGTTAGTCATGATCAAGTTGGACCACCAACTATTAATAGAAATTTCATTGTCCATTTGATTTGCAATGTCTTGGCCCACTAATCTCCAAACCTGTTTTGTAGTCATGCAATTTTTGAAAATGTGATTGATGTTCTCATCATCTCCACAAAAGTTACATGCCTCACTTATGGTCATACCCCTCTTCCTAAGGAAGTCTTTGGACAGTAGTTTATGATTAAGGAGCAAGAACATAAAGATTTTGTATCTTAGGGGGGGGCACATTGAGGCCCCAAATAGTGTTTAGGAAGCCTCTGTGCTATACTTGCATATTATCCCTAACACAAGCTTCTTTGAATGCTGATTTTATAGTGAAATTCCCCTTAGGGTCGAGTTTCCAAACAACTTCATCTTCTTTTGAATTTGAAGGGATATCGCTTTAATCTTGTTCCAAATCGGCTTTGGAACCATTTTGAAGATTTGATATTCCTTCCAAATCATTTGAGAACTTAATATTTTTATTGATAGAAGATATTCCTAATGTACGAATGCAAGAGGCTATGAATACGGTGTGAGGACCAAATGCGATCTCAGTGCAGCCACTTTTCCACATGACAGTGTTTTCAAATTGTCGTTAGCGAGTCCGGATTAGGGGTGTCAATGAAAAAAATGAAAAACCAAAAAACCAAATCGGAAAATGCGGTTAACCGAACTGATCAGTTCGGTTTCCTATGATATTTTTGAAAAACCGAAGGACCAATTCAGTTTTTGGTTTACCTACAAAAAATCGACGGTTAATCGAATTGACTGGTATATATATTTATATGTATATTATATATTTTTTAATATATGTCACATATTTTCTATATATTATATATAAATATATATTCATTATATATATAAATATATACATATATTATATTTATAATAATCTATTTATAAATATATTATATATCATTTATTATTTATAATATAATATTATACATATATTTATATAATATATATTATAAGTATAAAAAACCGAAGAACCAAACTAGCCAAAAAACAAGACCGGTACACCGGTTAATCGATGGTACCGGTTCAATTTGCAAAAACTGCCCATCGTTCGGTTAAACGAACCGTAGACACCCCTAGTCCGGACCTGCTTCTCAATGAGCACTCCTCACACCAAACCCCAAAAATTTTGACAGTTTTGGTTGTTTGGGGCAAACAACCTATATTGTAGGGTGTAAACGGATCTAATTCCAATCAAATGAACCATTATCCGAATTCGAATTGGTTAGAAAATTTGATATCTAACAGGTATTGAAAATTAATATTTAAATTTGATTAAATATTCAAATATTTGATTTGATTCAAATTTGAATTATTTATAACATAAATATTTGACCAACTAATTAATAAATATATAACATAAATATTTTTTTATATAAATATTTGAATTATTTATATAATTTGATTATATATATAACATTGAAATATTTTATATATTATGTATAAAAATTAAATTATCGGTCAAAATTGGATATTTATCGAATCGAATCAAGTCATACCCAAATTTGATCCAATTAGCTAATCAGTATGAATAAAATATCCGAATTCAATTGATTACGATATTCGAATTATCCGAATTTAATTTGATTATTTCGAATCTCAGTTTTGAAATCGAATTTTCGAATACCATTAGCACCTCTACTATTGAGAACATTAATACTATGTTACCATGAGAGTGGGGTAAAATAATAATTACATTTTATTTACTTTTGACCAAAATGATAGACATGGGAGTGATTGGGTGAATGTGTCCAGCCAATAAGCACTCTCAACAGCATAGGTGGTTGGCCCTCCCAACAGGAATTGTCTGATGTGGCATGTATCTTTTTTTCTCCTTTTTTTTTATTTTTTTTTAATTCTACATAATTTCACATCATCTTTAAGTTTTCATCTTTCATCATTAATTCTCTTATATTTCTCATTATAAATCCTTTTAATTATCTCTCTTCGTTAATCATGGTATTAACTATCTTCATTAATCATTAATTTCTTAGTTTGCCATACCCCCACTTTTTGGCTTATCCTTCAACTTTTCATAATATGTTATATATTATAAAGTATATTATGCTATTTTGATGAGTTGTCATCAAGTGTGGAACCTTGAAAATGTCCTTTTTTTGGTAAATTCATCTAAAAGTCCTAATATTTTATGCCTTTCAATTGGGGTGGATTCAGGGTTGGGGCTAGGGGTGGACAAATACCACCCCCAATCCCTAGTCACCATAATTTTGGGTTTCCCCAAAACTAATCAGTAGTTAAAAACCCCGCTCCGGTGGTGGACCATAAGGGTGTCAATGGACTGGTTTTGGATTGGACCCCATCCAATTAAAATCAATTTGGACAAATTGGACGGACCAACAAGACATATTGGATTGGACCAATCCAGTCTAAAATTATTATTAGATTGAATTGGACCCAGTCCATTCATAATAAATCTATATTGGATTGGGTTGGATTAAGACAATACCCGGTCCACTGGTATAAGATAAAAATATAGGTGTTAATGGATCGTATTTGGGTTGAAACCAATCTAAATCAAAATGAATTTGAACAGATTGGATGATCCAAAATATTCATGGGTTGGATTGGACCTGGCCCATTTGTAATGGACTCACATTGGACTGGATCAGATTGGACCAAATCCAGTCCAATTGACACCCCTAGTGGATGAGATTTCCACCTCTACCTAAGTAATAGAATTCTCTCTCTCTCTCTCTCTCTCTCTCTCTCCTAGCAAACAGATGGGAGGATGACAAATCTAGGCATTTAAATTGTTAGGATGTCAACAATTGGTGGGACTCACTCATAATTGGTTATTTTTCTAATATGGTATGGAGCAAAAAATTAAACATTAAAAAAAAGAAGAAGATAGCACACCCTCCCTAGTTTGAGTGAGTGTGTGTGTGCGTGTGTATGTGTGTTTGTATAAATTCCTAGTTGGGAAGTTGGGAATTGTGTGATACATAGGCTTTGTTAGGTGGAATTGAAGCAAAAAGAGCCCTCTATTTTCAATCCAATCATTATTTTTGCATGATTTAACTATTTATGATCTTTTTTATTAACTAAATTTTAAACTTTTTTTGTTTGTAGGTCGGCCCTAAGCCAGAATTGAAATGTTAGGCCCAATTTTGACCTTGAAATTTGTGGGCCTAATTTGGGGATAAGCTTGGACCAGGCTAAAATGATCATCCCTAGGCAAATTGTGCTTGGTTTATTATCCATTTTTTCTAAAGAAAAACATAAGAAAAATTCAAAATAAAATAAAAAATAGTAAATGAGTTTTAAGCAATTTAATGGAGTTATTAAGAGGAGAGAGAATTAGTGGAATGAGTTATTAGAGGAAAGAGAGTTAATGCTATGATTAATGAAGAGAGATAATCAAAAGAAGTTAATGAGAAAAAGAAGAGAATTAATAATAAAAGAGGAAAACTTAAAGATGATGTGGAATTATGTAGAATTTAAAAAAAATCAAAAATCAAGAAAAGGAGAAAAAAGATAGATGCCACATCGGACAATTCCATTTTTCAAAGTCTCTTGAGGTGAACTAGGAAAAAAAAGGCCTCACCTCAATATCCACAGGCCTCACCAACAAACGCTTACACCTTGAGTTATTTGAGCCAAAGGCCTCAAAATGTGTAAGCCTTGGACTTCATCCATTTGGCATGTTAACCTTGAATTCAAGGTTTACCATCTATTAGTAGGAAAAGTAAAGCAAAATGAAAACAGGGAAGGCATTACGTGATCTGAAAGTATCGACAATGAGGATTATAATGATGGATTGAAGCAATGAGGTTTGGAAAATGTTAGGAATGAAAGGATCTTGGTCTCAAGTGATTGATGATGGGTGGTCCATAGAATATGGCTACTTTGAAGTGTGTAACCGTAGGCCTTGTTTGCTTTTCGGCAAGTTACTTACCTAGGTAAATGCATTTACCTGGGTAAGTTTTTCATGGGAAACATTTACTCGAGTAAGTGCATTTATCCCTGTTCTTTTATTTCTCATATAAATAAGGCAATGACCAATTTAGCCATAAAAACTCATTATTAAAATAGGCATTTTTGTC